TATATATATATATATATATAATTGATTAGTATTATTTCGAGCCAAAACGAGCCGAACACGAACGAACAAATATTTGTTCGTGTTATTTGTGTTCGGCTCGTTCATTCACGGCCCGCGATTTTTAACGCCTTGAGCTGTTCGCGAAGAACGAAACGAGCCGTTTTGACAGCCCTAATTGCACCTATAATTAAAATTGAGAAAGAACAAACTCGTGTCCTAGAGAACCATAAAAACATCATGCTATGTCAAAATTAAGCCCAATCCTAGCTCTGCAGATACCCGTGATGGAAAAAAAAAAGTTCTACTTAGACCTATAGTTAAAAAAAAATGATCTTAGAAATGTTAGTACTGCTCTAGCTGAAAAAAAATGGAAGAAATGAGAAGTATTTACCCTTTCAACCAATTATTAAATGATAATGAAGCGAGATAAACCAAATGTTAAAATATGATTCTAAAATGTCATTCAATGTGTATTACCCATTAAGCTCATGGATTTGGTTCAATATTCATTTTGGGCTATATTTGGTTTATTGGAAAATAAAAGGCATAAACTGATTAAAGTTTCTGAAATAGCTTACAACACAACATGAACATCATCACATCCACATAAAAGCCTCCCATTAAGCATGTCAGTTGCTTGGAAGACCCCTCCTTCTTCACTCCTCTGCAGGCAGAGAGCTTAACATAAGAGAATGAACATTCATAGAAGAAACCTCTTCAGAGTTTAACAATGTGAATGATCATATGATCATATGAGATTTTTATGCAAACCTTGTAGAAATCGACAGCAACAAAGTTTGCCCACCGATTGCTTGCTGCTGAATGGCAAGTTTGAAGCATGTTAATGAGTTCTGCAGAATTGTGCCTAGATGCTGTTGTCTCAATCGGTATGGAGGGGAAATAATTCACCCAAAAAAAAGAGATTTGGCCAAGTCAGTAAGAGGAGATGATTCGCCATGGTTTGAGCAATTACCAGCTTTCATTCCATCATCTCCATCTTTAAGTTCAAAGCACCATACGTATGAGAGATTGTTCATTGTTTGATCAAGTAATTGATGAACTCACTCACATACAATGATGTAATAGAGGCATGGGTGCATAGCCATGTGTTGATAATAAGGGCTCAAGCTAGGTGATATATTTTTATAGATCAGTGTCTTCGATCTACTCCTTATCTCTTCAATTTGAGGCTTTTAGGTTGGCTCTTGAGCTTGTGGAGTATTCATGATGAATCAAGTTGTCTTAGACATTGTAATGTTTGTTGGAGTTTCCTCATTTTGTACAGTGCCTTCTTGCTCAGATATGGATATCGATGCTTATAGAGGTGGTGGCAGCGGCAAGGAGCAACAAGCGATGAGCATCAGGGATGAGGGTGGCGGCAAAGGGGAATAGGTGGGTAGATAATGGCAGGGAGGCAGGTTACCAGCGATGACAGTGAAAGTCCCCATATATGATGATCAATGGATGGCAGACGTCAAACAACATCGATAAAGGTGGCTGTAGGCGGCATGGGTGGCAACTAGCGGCAAGAGTGGCAAGCTATTGACATCGAATATAGATGCGACAAGCAATGGGCATCAATAACAACAACATACTCGATGAATTCTTTCAACAATACACCCAAAAATTTTAAAAAAAGTGACATTCTTTTCACCACAAACCAAACCACCCCAAAATCATTCACACAAATGCCAAATCCAAAGCAACAAAACAAAATAGAATGTTTAACAAGCAATAAAAATAAAGGACTATTCTTACTTCCTGAAAAAAGAAAACATTTTAACATTAAAAAAAATTAATTTTGAAACATTAAAAAATGAAACAATTTCACATTGTTAGAAAACTACTCTCCCCTGCTTTCCAATATATCAGAGAATACATGTATTGTACAGCATCGTTAAAAGAAATTCTGTATATAGATTTAACATACTGAGGTCATTAGATGCCATGTTGGGTACCAAATACAAATTTGATAATAACCCGATGCACACAAGTAGAATAATACTATTATTTTCTTTACCTTCAATGAAAAATCAACGCATTAGTAAACATGAATTATAAGGTCATTATGAAAAAAGAAAAGTTGACTTTTGAAGTTCCCATGCTCTGAAAATAAAGAAACCGCAAATATAATTGAAACATTCGAACACCAAATTTATAAGACAGCAAAACATCAACAACTCAACAAGTACTAAAAGCACAATAACAATCTCAAGACAAGATACAACAATATTAAACGCGCCTTAAAAAGGCTAGAAATCATTTCAGAACTTCTGTTTTCGAAAATTTTCCTTCTAACGGTTTGCCTTGGCCACACGTTCAATCTCGTCTTTCTTCTTGATTGCATAACTACAAACAAAACAATGACATCCGTAAGTTACTTTTAAAAAAGTGGCAACAGTACTCGTTTTGATGTGATACTAAAGATTCGAGACTATATGTAAATATAAAAGTTTAGGTGCGAGATATGTAAATACATAAGAATTGTGTGTAATGTATGTAAATGGCTGAAATAAAAATAAGAAAAAATAATCAAAGGGCGGAAAGCTCACCTGTTGGAAGAACCCTTCGCCGCATTAATCAATTCATCAGCAAGACACTCAGCAATTGTCTTAATGTTCCGAAAAGCACTCTCGCGAGCACCTGTTGTGAGGAGATATATTGCTTGATTAACCCGTCTCAGAGGAGAAATATCAACTGCCTGGCGCCTAACAACACCAGCAGATCCAATTCTAGTGGCATCCTCTCTTGGTCCACTGCAAGTAAAAACAAATAGAGAATATAAGCATTAACAGAAAAATAAACTGAGAAAATCAGTATAAAATATTCTATGTTCATTGAAATTGATAAGCCACCAATACTAAGCAGAATAAACTGTTTTGATACATCACATAGCAAAAAAGCAACAAACTTATCATTGCATTGCCTAGCTTAGACTTTCATTTGAACTAACTCAAATGTAGTCAAATCATTATTTACCTGTTGATGACAGCATCAACTATGATTTGAATTGGGTTAGTATCAGTAAGGAGATGAATGATGTCCATGGCATGTTTAACAATGCGAACGGCCTTGAGTTTCTTCCCATTGTTACGACCGTGCATCATCAATGAATTGGTCAACCTTTCAACAATGGGGCATTGTGCTTTTCTAAACCTTTTCACAGAATAACGTCCAGCAGTGTGTGGAAGATAAGTAGCATGTTTCGAAGGAGTTACCGCAATATAGTCAGCAAGTGACATGTCAGAAACCTGATACAAAGAAAGAATCAACAAAACAAAACAAAAAAAAAAATTCTTATGAACTGAAGAAAATTAACAAAAATATTCAAAACCATGAATCATAGCAGAAAAAAAAAACAAAAAAATTTGTTAAATTGATTACTGCATGATCAGCATTTGTTTGACTTTGCTCTTGATTAGATAAATAAAAAGTAACCATCAAACAAAATTTCTCCAATCAGGCATCTCTCTCTTCAGTCCCCACATATCCAAATTATGACATAGCAATCCACGGCTATACATCTTATGCTTTTCAACATTGTTGAAAAGGTATCTTTGATTTCTCCCACCTTAATCAATTTATAAATTATAATTTTTTAGACCTCAATTCTGTGAACATTCCACTGCTTACCACTCGCAGCTTACCTCTCGATGCTTATGTGCTCAAAAAGTCAATTTCAAAGTAAGCTCTCTTATTTTTCCCGCATCTATTTTTCAAACCTCTTTTTTCCTTTTATTGCTTATTCATAAATGCATTTTCTCTTTTTTCCTTTTATTTTTCAATCCTCTTTTACACTTTAGCCTTAAACATATGGAGTTCTCATAGAAATAGGAATTACGACCAAAAATCATCCACACTTTTTCCTCTTCTACACTTTAGCCTTGAACAAAAAGCTCTCGCATGTCCTAGTTTCCTTATATTATGTGTTTAAAGTATTTATTTGAATATTATTTACTTGTATAAGTATAAAAATATAAAATTATTAACATAAAAGAGTTCCATTAATACGTACACCTGCCATTTTTTTGTTGTTTTTGTATAATGTAATTTTTTATTTTACATGAGCCTAATTTTTATTGTATTTGAATGATTATATGATTCTTACTGAAATTTAATGAATCGTCCGAGATTTGTTTATAAAAATTAAACAAGACTTCTACTCAAAACCATTTTCATTTTTTTTGGCTTGAAATGTGATGTGATGAAAATTTAATTTACTTGATAATCTTAAAAAGTGTTTTATATTGCAGAGAGGTTTGGACCGATACAAGTAATAGAAGATTAGTCCAATAACATAGATTGTTATGAAAAATTGTTATGAAAAAGGCTATAAACCATGAGATAATTCATTTTCATACTGCTTAAAAGAAAACAGGTTTACAGATGGTATTTTTAGTATTATAAAAAGCAAATGTCTCAAGTAGAAGGTCGCATTAATGTTAGAATAACTCTGGTATTGATATGTATAGAAATACAGGCATATATTTAATATGATCCTTTTGTATGAAATTTAAAATAATAAACATCAAATAAAATTTAAACTCAAGACCATAGAATACCATCTTTGAGAACAGTTATTGGATACTGGAAAGCAAAACGTCAACTATAATACATGGTTTCAGCCAATATATATACAGTGTCGTGTATTAGTTATTTCTCCGTCAAGTACTTCCAGTCTTCTATTATGCCTCAAATGCAGACAAAAAACAATCCTCACTTCAGTTAAGGCAAGAATAATTTGAAGTAAATCGGTGCAGATTATCTCACTGACTATTATTTATGCATTTGCACTTGAGTGGATACTTATTTTTTTAGCCTTTGAAAAGTCCCAATATATTAAAAATTGTTGAAATTTTTAAGATTATACACCAAAACCGTTCAAAGTAAAGATTGGCCAGCAAAACTTGAGTAAAGCTACAACAAACCTAAGGGCCACCAAAATATTTGATTATGATCTAAAATAACTTTTCTAGTAGGTAGTAGGTCTAACAAACTAACAGTTCATTTTGGATTCAAAGGATAGCAGACCTCCAACAATGTCTTCCTCTTTAGCAACGACATTTTTGAGATGATCTCATTAACAAGTAATTTTGATCTTTCTTTTGCTAATTTCGAGTCAGTGACACCTATCAATCCAAAGCATATTGATTAGCATAATGATCAATTAGTTTAACATAATTTTTATAAATAATCAATTAGTTTAGTGGATAAATAATTATTGATTAGCATAATTAGAAAAAAAATAGAATTTAATTAAACTATAAATTTATATTTCAAGCAACAGATTTAAATCCTGAAATTAAATTACATAGATATTGTCAATAATTTAACCGAATGAGCAATTATCAAAAAACTTAATAAACCAATTAATCAAATATATGAGCAAGTGACTTACCCAGCTAAACAGGTAATCGGTGATTAATTATTAAAAATCAAAAGATTGACTAAATTTTTAATACTTCTGTAGGATGAAAATTATTTAATTTCTATCATAGTAATCAAATAATCAAATTCTAAATACATTTATATTATAATAAACCTAACGGACTTTTTTAGGGGTTGTCTGGTAGCCAGTTTTAAGCAAGATGTACGCAGGATATAGCATAAATCCAAAAATATGGCAAAAAATGCCTACATCAATACTGAGGTCCCTTAAATCCCAAAATGATGTCGATTTGTGATAAATACGAAATTTACTAAATCCCATAGTTTGGTGGATTTAAAAGGATTTATGAAAAAATAAAACATCTCTCACGGGGAGTCACATTTACAGTGAAGCTCTTTATCTTCATTGTTGTAGCTCGGCATACTATCCCCATCCCCTGCCTCTCCACCTCTTCGGCTTAGGCTTTTTAGGGAAATGCATTAGAGAGTACTACATGAACATCACCAGGTTTGTTATTTTGTTTTATTTTCTTTTTTTACCATTTTCTTGCATTTTGAACTACTGGATTTAGGTCGCAAATTTGTAGAATTTCAAACTACTAATGTTAAATCGAGATTTGTTTTTGGTATTTAAATATTTCAAAATTGTATATATCTGAGTGATAGGTTTTTAAAGTCAGCAATTATACGACCAAGAGTTATGCATCCTTTGTTACTTGTTCAAATCTGTTTTTAAGAAGCACTGAAAGTAACATTTTATTTGATAAATTTTTCTTAGATTGAAGATAAGGTATACAATGAATGAGTTAAGTTTTGTAATTAGAAATTGGAGTACCAAGTCTTCAGCATTTTTTTTATTTTCCTTGAGTTTACAAACGTGTCTTTAGAAAGTTTTTTATCTCACTGTACACTTACAAAAACAACAAAAACAAGCCTTTATCCCATTAATTGGGGTCGGCTACATGAATCCTTTTTCTACAATGCGTTCTATTGAGTTTTTTTTTTTCACTGTACACTTGATGTAAATAAATATATGCAATATAGCCTCATGCAGTTTATCAACTCAAGACTGTCAGTGTTCTATATTATTTTTAGTGGTATAATTAATTTTTAACTGGAGTGAAATTTAGTTTTAGTTATATCAATTTTTTGTGGAAATAATAGTTTTTATACTATTTCCTTTGTATGTCTTTACCCTCCTAAGTTGTATTCTTTATTAAAATGAAGAAACTAAATGAGCAATTATCATGCATTTCATTAGCTCAAAACTGCAATAGCAACTATAAGAATTTTACTTTTCTACATTGATTTCTTAGGGAATGATTTTGTACTGAGGCGTGAAAATAATAGTTTCTAAATGTTTCATTAGAATTAGAACTTTGCATTTTTTTTATAAAAGTTTACGTCAGATTCTATAAAAGTTCCCAATTATGACAGCCATCTTTGACAAACTTGCTCTTATAATGTGCTTGCAATGAAAATTCCTGTCAATTTCCTTGTTGCTGAAAAGGATACCGAGTGTTATTATTTCCAACAACAACAACAACAATAAACCTTTATCCCGCTAAGTGGGGTCGGCTACATGAGTCATTTTTCTCCATTGCGTCCTATTAAGTGTCATATTTTCATTTAATTCTAATAAATTAAGATAATTTTTTATACAATATGCTCAAATCTTTCTAGGTCTACCTCTGTCTTTCTTAACACAAGTCCAATTTAAAACATCTACTCTCCTAATCGGATCAACATATAGTCGACATTTAATATGACCAAAGCATCTAAGACGACTCTCTAATTTTGTCCGTCACTGGAGCTACACCAACCCTATCACGAATATATTCATTTCGCATTTTCTCTCTAAGTGTAAAGCCACTCATCCACCTAATCATTCTCATCTCAGCAAAACTA